CCGCTCGGCGACAATTACCGCAAGTGCACCGGCTGAATACCGGATAAAAATGGCTTTGTCTCGGCGCCCGACGGCGTCATTTGCAGCTGGAGACTCGCAGACGCACCGCGTGTCGTCGCACGCGAGCGGCGCTGCCAAACGGCGACACCACAAAAACGTCGCGTCTCCGGCCGCGTCGCCGCCGTTGCGTCGCTGTCGCCGCGGCGGCCCGGAGGCCATTAGCGGCGCTCGGCGTCGTCCGGCGTTTAGAGCGTGTTCGGGGGCCTATTTGGCCGGCCATTAGAGTTCGGAAATGAGTCCGCCGGGTATCGGCCGCGGCGCAGCGCCGTCGGCCGGTAAATCAGACGGTCGCAACCGCCAGCCGCCATCGCTGCCATCGCAGACACCGCAAAAACACACGCACTGGCCGTGCGCGACCGCACAAAAAGTCAGACCGATAATGGAAGTAACAGACGAATTAAAAGCGGCGCGGCGGCGATGACTGCGCGGCCGGTGCGGCGGCGGGCAGCCGATTCGCCGCGCTCGGTCCCACTGATTGGGTAGTTCATTTCAGCCGCCTGTTTGTCGGCCACCTCATTTCGAGTCCAACAATGAGCTCACTTTCGGGCGTTTTTAATTGCAGTGACGGACGGAATCGAAAGCGCAATACTTCCACGTGAATTACCCAAATTACGGCCAATTGCCAGTGCATGTTATGGACTCTGTTGAAAACAATCGCCGGCGCCAGTGTGCATTCAGCTGGGCCGCGGCAGGGCGCCGCCGCGGGCCCGTGTCGATCGCACCACCTGCCGCGGGCAGGACACGCCCGGGACCGCCCGGCGCTGCGGAGGCGGCGAGGGCGAGTTCCCCGCACATGACGCATTAAAGTCGCCCGCCAAGGAGCTCTCCGGCACAGTCTACCCGGCATTATGCAGGCGGTGGTCGGATCACAGACTTCCTGCTGCAATAAATCGCATTTAAAATGCACTACTCGGTCCAAGAGGCTGATTTGAATAGCAAACACGGACGCGATATGGCCGGCAGCTGTGGACGATGGGACGATCGGGCTCGATACGATGCGCAATGCCTTACGCCCGATCGATTAAGAATACGATAAATATTTAAATAGCACTCTGCATGACATGCGTAGTTGAGGCAACGGAGGCACATTTGCAAATGCACTCGTGTATCCCGATCAAAAGCCATCAGAATCGCGGGCCGAATTCGGTATCTGACAGAGCCGAATTACCATGCGGTAGCCGCGTTGAACCGGCTACCGCTCTGACGAGCAAGTGTTCGCCGTCAAAACATATAATATAACACGGCGGCGCATCTCTGTCTGACATGTCACCTGTCACTCATCGGGGCAGCACTCGGACACGTACAAAAACAATCAGAGTCAAACCGGGCCCGCTCTGCATCATATTATCCATAACAAAATATCCGACGCGTTGCACTGCCAACCGTTTAATGATTAACCACCCGCTGGGGATGATAAATCGATAGTCGATATTCGCAGATGTTTGTAGCCGTTCGCTGCCAAACTGCAGCGGCCGCCGGTGCTCGATCAGCTCTGTCCGCGGCGTGTCCAGCCAGCCCCTGACGGCCGGCCGCTCCCCGCCCCGCCGCGGTCGATGGTGTTTGGGTGATCTGGCCTCGGTGGCCACAACAGCGGCGTCCATTTAACCCCTTATCTGGCCGCCTAATTTCCTCGGCGCCACTCATCGCGGTCCAATCTGGCACGCTAGCGTTCCATCGCGGTGCGCGTGCCGGCCCGAGTGGCCAGCGCGCCCCCGCCGCCGCCGACGATATCCTAATTTGCTGCCGAGATTACGCTGGGAGGCAATCGACGGGCCAGTGGCCGGGGTCTGCCGGCCCTCGGCGGGGCAGCAGTCCGACCGCTGGTGATGAGAAGAGGAGCACTCGGGACCCCAACCCGTCCCCGCCAGAGTCCCCACTCCCGGGAGCTGCAGTGGACAGGACCGACAGACGACACAGCGCGCTGGTCTGTACCGACCGCACAGAGCAGGGCACGCGGTCCTCGACATCCTTCAGTCCCGGACGGGCGCGCCGCGCAGATAAGCAGACCACAGTTCTTGGCGCGGGCTGGCGGCGGTGGCGGCGGTGACCGACGGTAGCGGAGGTGGCGGGTCGCGCGGCGCGTCAGCAATGCCACTGGGACGCCGGCCGAGGGATATTTGGCGATTTGTGCCGGCCGTCCGGCCGACTTTGGCGGATTCTGTGCATTCCGCCGTACGCGCCTGTCAGCCGGCGGCGCCAGCGACTGCCAGCGACTGCCGGCGTGGCGGTGGCCCGTGCCTTCAGAGGTCAGGGAGGGGTAGAGGGTGTCACGGAGGTGGCTGACAGATGACTAACAAGAGTGAAAAATTTCCCGAGGAGTGAAAAAGTGTCACAGAGAGTGAGCATATAAAGAGTGAAGCAAACAGAGCGTCAGATGGCGTGTATCAGAGTGCCTCTGCCGCGTGGTCTCCCAGGCAATGACGGGAGCTCGCGCCAGAGCGGGGAGCGGGCTGCAGAGAGCAGCGGCCGGCCGGCCGGGTTCCGTCCCCCGGTGGACCGGCAGGGTACAGTTTCAGTCCGGGTGGCCGGGGGTGCCAGGGGGACACGGCGAGGACCGGGTCCCCAGAGACCGTCTCCTGGCCGGCCGCTCCGAACACCCCTGCGGTGCAGCCAGCGCCCCAATCGACCCCCATCTGTCCACTGCAGCCGGCCGACGCCGCGGCGTCCACTCCATTAACTCTAAACAACGGCGGCAGCGCCGGCCGGCCGGCCGGACCGGCCAGACGTGACCGGCCACTGGCCGGCCGGCCGCGCGCGCTGCCGCTCCGCCGGCACCATTAAACCCATTGTCTCATTAGCCATTTCATCAGCGGTCGGTGCCCATTTTTGGAGCGCCACCCGGGGCGCGGCTTTATGCGAGAAGCGGTTTTGCCGCGGCGCGCGGCGGGCGGTCGCCTGTCGCGCGGCACATCATTACGGCCGCTTATCAAAGGCCGGCACCGGTAATGAGCCTTGCGCGCCCACTCGCCGCTCCGACGGCCGACTGAATAAAACGCCAAAATCAATACGTGAATCGGCATCTTTGGCTACGATGACAGGGCTGGCGGCGGCGACGGCGTATCATTAGCATCATCGACGAGAGGCGGCATCGCACCGCGCCGCGACCGCCTCCCCGCGCCGCTAGAGCGCCGCGACCGCCTTCCAGCGCCGCTAGAGCGCCGCGACCGCCTCCCAGCGCCAGGGGCGGATCCAGAAAATCTCCAAGGGAGGGGCCATCAGAAACCAGGAGGCCCCCCCCCCCATAATCCCACCTGTTGGAGGCCCCATCTTCCCACTTGTTGGGCCCCCCCCCAAAAAAAAAAACTGCGTCTATTGAGCTTATCTAGCTGTTCAGGCAACATCTCAACATCTGTGCAGGCTTGGAGGCCCTCTGTGCAGGTTAGGAGGCCCTGTAAAAGTGGTCATCTCTGTGAGTATAAGAGACCTCCAAGTTATGAAAAGCTTTACCAATCTTCTAACAAAGAAGTGTTCTCAGCTAGTCTTCTAAGAAATAACTAAGTGGGTAGGTTAAAAAAAAAACTCATCGGATTTCGGCCACTTTATTTTCAGGAGGCCCCCTTTTCAGCTTTTTAACTTTTTAACTTTTTATTTTATTTTTGAAAAAAATCGGCCAAGGGGGGGGGCATGGCCCCCATGGCCCCCCCTTGTATCCGCGCCTGCCCAGCGCCGCTGCAGCGCGCCACGACCGTCGCCGAGCGCCCGTCCGACAAACACGACTAGCCGCACGCTGAATGCTTCAACGAGCAATTGCAATAAATTATGTTTGTTTTCGGAGGATCTCGGCTCGCGGAGGAGGGGACAAAAAGCGAGCCGCCGCCGGCTGGGTGGCCGGACCGGGCCGGGCCGGGCCGGGCCGGCGGTGTGCGCTGCTGCCCAGGGACGGCCGCCGGGCGACCCTCGCCCGCCGGACATCTCAGCGAGGTGGCCAGCCGGCCGGACATAGTCCCGATCCCCGGCCATCAGCGCCGCATTAAAATGCATAGAGTCTATCACCGCCCGTTATCCCATAAGCGTCCAGTTCTGGCCGGCTTCACTGCTGATGGGGTGGCCGCCGCTCAAATTTGACGGACTCGCCGCGGCGCCGGCGGCTCTGACGCGGCTGGAACGATTGCGGCGCAGCGCGGCGAATCGAGAGCGCCGCGGGCGCCGCACGCTCGCCGCTAACGAAGCAAACCGATCCGAAAAACACAGCCGGCTAGGCGGGCGCTGCGGCCATTACTGCGCGCGGCGCGGCACGGCGCGGCGCACTGGCCGCGGCGCGCCGGTTCGGCCGCCATCCGATAGGATCGTGCGCCGCCGGCCGGCGGTCGTGGCGGCCGGCGGCGCCGTTTTAATGACCGCCGATATGCCGTGTAAGCTTATTAGCCGCGTGGCGGCAACCAATGCGGCGCCGGGCCGGCTGATTTGTGGCCGCGCGCCGCGCCGAATGCGCCGTGACCCGTGACCCGCGCGTGACCCGGCGGCGCGCGCAGCCAATCAGCGGCCGGCGCGGCGACCCGGCGCGACCCGCCGGCCGGCCGCGCGACACCATGAATAATGCATCGGCGCGGCCGGCGCAGCTCAGGGGGATGAGGGGCGGGCGGGATGGCATTCCCGGCGCCGCCCCCAGCATAGCTCCGGCCCTCCTCCTCCCGCTCTCTCTCCGCTCTGCCTGACCCCGGCTCCGTGACCGCGCGGCCGTCTCCGCGCGAGGTGCTCACCCGGCGCTAATAACCGCCGACCCGCCGGCAGTCGGCGCGGATCAGCCAGCAGGGGGCATATTGGATGTGGTTTTAACGCGCCCTTTGTTCTACTCCGACTCAACCCGTCCCGGTTTAATTGCGTGTGAAGCGCAGATTGGCGCGCTCATCGGTAAGATGCAAAAAGGCGCGGAGCTGAGCGTCGAACGGCCCGGCGCGGGGCACTGTGTGGGGGGGGGGGGGGCAGGGTTCAACACTCACCAATTGTTGACCTGCAGTATTGTCAGGCCCGTGTCCTGCGCCAGCTGCTTCTTTTGGTCTTCTGACGGGTACGGATGCTGAAACAGACAGACACATACGTCACACACAGTAGACACACAATGAGCCCGCCGGCGCTGGTGAACGGTGGACACAGGTGCGGCTCGGTGACATGTTTGGATCGCACTTCATTCGTGCCAGCCCCGCCCCGACTCCGGCGGCCCCGCCAACCGTCCCAAGGCCGAGCCATTTCCATGCCATAAAGTTCGGACACTAATCGTCGTCGGCATTCGCGGCGCACGTGACAGCTGGCGCACCCTGTCGACGTTTCCAGCGCGCCGTCTTCGCCGCACTCGCGCCGCCACTAATGCTTCTCTGCCACGCAACGTAGCGCCATTTTGAATTAAACCACCTGACACTTTTCCCATTTAGAAGTTTGCCGGGCAATCTGGCACTTTCGGCTCACTTACGAGCTCCTAAAGGAACTCGCAGATGAGTGCGGATCGCGCGCATTAAGGAAACGGACCGAGCAGAACACGACCTCTTAAATATGCATAACGCCCGGCGGTATGGGAGCAGAGATGACTTCCGTGGGCGTTAAAACAAACGCAGATGGCACCGAGACTTCAACGCCGCGCCGCTGCCCTTTTACGACGCAGTATCCAACTCAACGGCCCTCAGAGCTTCGCCTAACCGGGCAAATATCCAATAAAATTATTCTCCGTCGTGATCACATAGTTTCGGAGCGCGTTTCGGCGAATGCACACGCCGGCCTACCGTAGTGGTCCGCCCACATGCGAGGGCGGGTCGCCGAGCAATTAGACCGCGGGAGCAGCGACGGCACGCCAGCGACAAACGCGACAGCACGCCAGCGACAAACAGACGGCGTCCGGGGACGACGCGTCTCACTGTGACGAGCTGTCGCAGCTCCCCGGACCACTGCTCTCTCTCGCTCTCTCTCTGCTGCAGCTCCCCGGTTGTCGCAGCACCCCCGAGAGGCGCTGTCGCAGCTCCCAGACCGTCGCAGCTCCCCGGGAAGCACTGTCGCAGCTCCCCGGCTGTCGCAGCTCCCGGGAGGGTTGCAGCTCCCCGGCTGTCGCAGCTCCCCGGGAAGCACTGTTGCAGCTCCCCGGCTGTCGCAGCTCCCAGGAGGGCTGCAGCTTTCAGGACGGGTCGCAGCTCCCCGGCTGTTGCAGCTCCCCGGCTGTCGCAGCCCGGCCGTCGCCAGTCTATTTCAGCCACCTCTCCGGAATATAAAATAACATCGCCGCACCGCTTCTGAATAGCAATTGTTCCGCCAATGTCTCCCGCGGGGACTGAAATATTCAGCTGCGAACCGCCACACTATCGATGGCTTATTTATTGTTTGGTGATATAGAATATTTTCCGCCTCCCCGGGGCCCGTTTATGCCGACGGGCCGGCTCGCCATATAGGCGCCGCGCGGAAGTGTGTCCCGCCGCATATCAAGCACGGATCGTCTCCCGAAATGGGGAGGCCGGTGATGTCAGCAGCGGTCTGACCCGGCCGGGCGACACCCGGCCCGGGGGGGGGGGGACAGCCGGACAGGGGGCGCCGGACAGCCGGACAGCCGGACAGGTGGCGGCGTGCCAGACAGGTGACCCACGGGGTCGCACAGACGGGAGGGGTGATTACAAAACGACAGAACAGACAACTCTGTGTTGTGATTAAAAGATACAGGAATATGTAAATAACAACAATAAATCAAAAGTGAAACACGCCCCAGGCCAATAAGGCCGGATGCCTTTTGTAGAAACAGACGGCAAACGGAAAGTCGGACAACTACCCAGACGTGCAGCTGCCATTCGGCCAGCCCCTTCAGTTGCTGACTTCAAATATTAACGTGAAATGCTCGTATCCAATTACTGCAGGGATTCAGTAATTGGATTTCGTCTCTGGGACTCGGGAGTGCGCCGGCACGAGCGGGCGGGAATAATTTCTGAGCTGGAAATCCGGTTAGTGCCGAACGGTCCGGCCGGTGGGCGGTGCCGGACCGCGCCGCCCGGAGAGGCGGTACGGTCAGATACACTGTACCAGAGGGGCGCCGGAGAGGCGCCACGGTCAGATACACTGTACCGGAGTGGCGCCGGAGAGGCGGGACGGTCAGATACACTGTATACAGAAGGGGCGCCCACTGCGGCAGGCGGTGACCCAGCACAGTTCCGACCGAACTGCACTCGCTGGGACCAATACTCGGCCGCTGATCTATGGATAACGCTGGTCCTGTGACCGCACATGTAATGTGCTGAACAATTTATTTCGATTCCTGACACATGCGTGTCACATGAAATCCTTAACGCTCGTGGACATACACTTCAAGTGATAATTCAATGAGGTCCAATATATTTTCGCAGCCCTTGCATTGATGACAGGGTGATTTGAGTGTCACATTAAACCAAATCACACGACATGGTTGGCGATTGCCCCACGGAGTCCGCTCTAAACGGCACGTTTACAGCGCGTCTGGCAGCGCATGTCACTTCCATCGACCGATTCACTTTAAATCGCATTATTCAGCGCGGTTGTCCGCGGCTATAAAATCAGCCTCCATCAGTTGATCGGTGGCAATGCGTCACCAGCCTGACCCTATACCACCAGCATGGCCTGACGTGGCGCGGGGCGTCCGGCCGCCGCTCTCACACACACACACACACGCCGACCCCCGCCGACAATGGTAACTGACTGGACGGGCGTCGTCAGCGAGTACACAGTAGCCGGCGCGGCTGGTTGGCGGCTGGTCACCGACGACAGGTCATGTCTATCGGAGATCTCCGACACGCCGCGTCCTCCAGATACCCGGCCGATGGCGGTCGCCGCCTGCTAACCGCAGCACCCAGCACCATGCACGGGCGGTGCGCCGCACCATTGGTATTCCAGGCGAGCCGTCCCAGAATCGAGCTGTAGTGCACTTGATATGCCGAATCAATTGACTGGGGAGGACAAAACTTGTCCATGCAGATAGCCCGGCGATAGGAGGCTCATTATTTTCGCTGACATCACGGATGCTGGGCTGCCGATCTGGGAAGCGGCCCGCTCTCTGGCCAGGACTGAGTCCAGCAGCCCACTCTCTGAGTCCAGCGGCCCGCTCTCTGAGTCCAGCGGCCTGTTCTCTGGCCTGGACCGAGTCCACTGACTGGCAGTCCGGCCCGGGACTGAGTCCACTGGCCCGCCCATCGGTCCCGCCGCCGCGCCGTTTACACAGATGTCCGCCGCCCGCATCGCGTTTGCCGGCGACGAGACGAGCAAATAGTCCGCGGTAGTTCGCAGTGTCAGCTGTCCCAGCTGTCCCAGCTGTCCCAGTGCACCACTATCCGGCCTGTCCTGGCTGTCCCAGTGTCCGGCAGGTCGGTCCTGCCGGTCCTGCGGGACGGGCGCTGATTCTCCTCTGTCGGCCGTAATGGGCGGTGTGCTATGTCACGGCAGCACCGCGCCACGGCCCACCGGCGCCGGTCAGCCACGCACGCGACGCACTCGCTTGCATTAGGCTAATTTACATGTTAAAACAGCGCGCGGCGGCGGCCGGCCGGCCAGCGGCGACCGCGCGCTCGTGCGTGCGTGTGACGCCGCACGCACGTCGCGCGCCGGCCGAGCCGCGCGCACACAGCGCCGCGCGCGCCGCCGCCACCGGAGCCGCCGCCCGCCACCGCGGACCGGCTCAGCTGCCATGATCGCCGACTGGTGAACGGGCGTCCAGTGCGCGCCGGCCGTGTTGATATAGTGCGCAAAGTTTACCGCCGCGGCCGTGGTCAGACGGGACACTAACAAACAGACCGGGACAGCGCGCAAACATGTCACCGCCGCCGACCAGTGACGTCACCCGCCGCCGACTGGTGACGTCACCGACCGCGAGTGCCGCGGTGCAGAGGCGCCCAGTCGGTGCCACAATCAGCATAATTCCGTCATTTTTGCAGCTGGTGTCCACGTGTGTCTCGTGTCGCGTTGGCGGCGCGCCGCGCCGGCTCAGCTCCCTGCGGTCGGCGGCGGGTCGGCGGCGGGTCACCCGGCCGGCCGGGCCGACCCTGCTCAGCGGCCGATGGCGCCGTCACGACCGCCGAGCCTCAGTCGCCACCGCCGCGCCAAATTCGCCTATCGAGCGCCGCGTCGCCGGCCGGCCTGCGCAAAAGAACGGCTCGGCTTTTGACGGCGCGTCGGCTGCCGCGGCGGCGCGGTAAAACGAGCCCGCTCGCGATTCGATCTCGCGCGACATTTTTCGGCGCGCGTGAACCGGTTACGGCGAATGCGGCGCGTCTAATTGCCGGTCGCCGTCTTGTCGTCAGCGGCCGAATTGAATAATCACAGCGATGCCGATCGGCGCGCGATACGCCGCGTAATGGTCACGTCCGCGCCCCGCGATCGGCCCGGCCGCGCCGCTGCACGCCGCGTGGAATGCCGTACTGCGGCAATCGCGGCAGATCACTGCGCCGCAGACGCCGCAAAAAACGCCGCCCGTCGCTGGTGACGGCCGCTGAGGCCGGCGCGGCGCCACGGCCGGCCGCCGCTTCCCGGATCCGCATTCCTCATCCCGCCGCTGTGCGTAGGAACGGAGAGTGACGTGGTGGCACTGCCGGCGGGCGGTCACACGCCACGAGAGGAGCACGGCCCGTCCACCGACCGCCGTCCGACGCCCGGCCCGTCCTGATCACCGGCCGCCGGACACTGCAGACCGGCTGAGTCACCAGTCAGTCAGTCCTCTACCCCCGGCCGTACGGGCGGCCGTGCGTGGCAGATTAGGTGGGTGGTCGCCGCACCGTGCTGTCTCCGGAGCCAGCGCAGAAAGTCCGCAATGAGTCAGCGCAGTCGTGTGCTCTACTCGAGTATGAATCATCATACCTATCTGCACCAGGAAAGTAGCTTCGGAAATATCTCAGAGCCACAGAGCATCGAGGATTCAGTCCATTGAATGTCGACGCTACTGAAGCCAGCTCGTAAGCCACTGAGGTTCGCAGTGCGGCAAAGCCACCCATGTGACTTTGGTCTGTGCCAGACAAAGCCCCGTCTGGCTGCTGCTCTGTGAGCGCGGCTGTCTGGCCCTGTGAGCGGGTCTCTGCTCGCCCCTGCGGGCCAGCCGCCGCCGCCGCCGGGGCGCCCGCTCCCCACCACGGGCGTTAGTTCCAACCCATTAGGTGTCGACAGAGAGCCCGGAAGATTTCGGCCGGGGCAGGAAGTCGCCAAGAGAGTCGGCCGGACCGTCGACATGGCTGCCGTCATCCGGCCAGCCACGGGAGGGTGCCGTCAAGGGATGAGGAAATGGCCGGAGGGTAGTGGGACACGGGTATGGGGATTTCAGGGATGTGCTCGAGGAAGAAAAAAGGAATGGCGGTGTCAGATCTACCGAGTATCGCGTATAAATTAGTAGATATCGACTGTCTCGGAATCAGTAATTTTCTCCTCAGAGAGCATGCGAGAAGTGCTCTTTGTTCGCCATACCCACCCACCACGTCGTCGTTCGCTGCCTGCAGACCATACAATTCACGAAGCACACAGATCTGCAGGAGTCCCCAGTGGACCGGCACTCAGGACTAGGCAGCACCGGCCGCCTGGTCCGTCGGAGTGCCCACTGGACAGAACGGCAGACCACCGCGCCGGCCGGCGCCCGGGGCGCCGATTAGGTCGCGCCGTCGGCCGCTGCCGCCGCCGGCGTAATCGCGTTTCTGGGGGACCAATTAGATTGCAGTCGGCCCCCCGGGGAGACGCCGCCGTCCGGCTGATGCGAAATTAATGGGATAAACAGGTCCGCCGGATCAAACCGGCGCGCCCGCCGCTGATGAGCAGCTCTGCTATCGACTGGGAGCGCTGCTCCCGCCCGGACCTCAGCCCCGACGCTGTCCGGACCTCAGCCCCTAGCCTGTCCGAACCTCAGCCCCTAGCCTGTCCGGACCTCAGCCCCTAGCCTGTCCGAACCTCAGCCCCTAGCCTGTCCGGACCTCAGCCCCAACCCTGTCCGAGATTCAGTCCGGTATCAGCTCGGCCATCGAGTTCGCAAAGCACACTGTCTGTCCGTCACTCACATCATCATCACTGACCTCTTCTTTCAGCACCACTGAGGCTCCTGCCTCCCAATATTTTACATTCCAAAAGAGCATTTCCGAGCTCCCTGTACCCAATGAAGCTTCTCGCTCACTTTTCTTCCTAGGTGCATCCTCAGCTCATGCAGCTTGCAGCTTACACACTCACAACTTCTCTACCCAAAGCCTCGGAAATCACCTTTCCAGAGCTCACAACTCACTTTTCCAGGCTCACAATGCCCTCTCGAGAGTTCCCGACTCTCTCCGGAACTCACGTGGCCCCTCCCCAGCTCACGACTCCCTCCGCAGCTGCCTGCTCCCAAAACTCCCTGGGCTCCCCGCTCGGTCGTCCCGCTATCCGCGGCCATCTCTTTGTCCGCTATCTATCCATCTCCGTGCGCTTCACACGCTCTCCGGTCTTTGTTTTACCCCGTGTCATCCATCTTCCGCCGCTCCGCGCGAGGAGGCGCGCACGGCGGCCGCCCGCCGACCGGCGCGGCTCCGACCGCGCGTCTCCCCGCCGTCTCGTCGTCGCCGTCCGTCTCGGAACGGGTCGTGACACCGCCGGCCGCCCGCGGCGCGTGTTCGAGTGAGCCGTGTTCGACCGACTCGGCCCACCAAATGGCTCGCAGCGCGCAGTCGAGCGACTCAGCCGCCGCCGAGGGTGAGGCCAGTCGAGCGGACGAGCAATGGAGCGAGCACGCCAGATGGGGAGAGACGGGCGAGCCTTGGCGTATAGGGAACGGCGGCAGCGGCGGAGGCAACAGCATTGACGGTAGCAATACCGGCAGGCAAGCCGGCAGCACCGCAGAGGGTAGCACCAGCAACGAGGCAGTGGATGTAGATAACCCTCATTTCCGCCGCGATCCTACTCCATTAAAGTTGAGCAAACTTTCCGAGAGTCTTTCCAGTTTCTTAGTTGAGTAAGCTTCACGAAGACAGTCATGAACTATTCCACAAACTGACGGCCTGCCCTGGAGCTCGATCTCCGAAGTTATGAATATTCATCAGAAACCATTTAAGTCCATTAATACTTGACTGAAAGTCATCTCCGTTTTCAGGATTTATGCATACCGAGGCAGAGCGTTAACGCCAAACAAAGAGACCCGAACAATCTCAACATTAGCGCCGAGACGCAAGAAGGGCGCTCGGCGCCGGCACGGATGTCTGTCGGGATGTCTGTCGCATCCGGAGCGCGGAGGCACTCACCGTTAAGTGCTGGAACAGCCAGGCGCGTAGGATGTTGGTGGCGACCTTGGGGAAGATGCCCCTCTTTTTGTGGTTCTTCTTCCCCGAGTCGTCCTCCTCCTCTCCGGTGCCCTCTCCGCTGCCTATGCTGGCGTTGCTGGCGTCACCTGTGGGGCGCAGAGAGCGGAGATCAGGTCAACTGCTGCAATACCGGATACAGCATGAACACACGCACCGTGTGTAGAACACGGTCATCAACAGCCCTTTACCTGTTAGTGAGTGTCTGAGTGCGATTAGTGTGCCAGATAAGATCGCCGATGAGTTGTGTACATGGCATCAGCGTCGCACCGGAGCGACAGGTGCGGCGCAGTTGGAGATGAACCCAAAGTATCCAGTCACCGGCCGTGTCCCAGTGCCGGGCCTCAGACAGCTGTGGTGCTCAGCGCTCCAGCGAGTTTTACCAGTCTCTCTGACACATATTAATGTCGTACAGCGATTTTTCACCGGCCGACAGGCTGTTTTTAGCCTGATAGCCGTCTGCCAGCGAGATCATTAGCCACGTCCGAACCGGCCGGCCGGCGGCCACTCATGATAAGATCGCCAATCGGGTGTCCGATGGCGTCTGCAAGAGCGCCGGCCTAGCTCCGCGCGATCACAGCAAAACACGGAAAAGCGATCCCATCGCCGCTACAGACGTTACTGTCACATCAAAGACATGTTTTACAATTCAATCATATTAGCAGATTCGCTGCAATCGGCGCGGTGTCAGGGACACCTGGGGAGCGCTGGGAGGCCGCGTCGACTTCCCGGAACACTTTTTTTGTCCATCAGCTCGCGATCGCAGGACATCACGCTCGTAGGCTTAACTCGCGAGGTGAACGGTATTGCAGGGAATCGATGATGTCCCGCCGGTTTTTTGTTGGAATGCCTGAGCCCTTGGTCGCCTGAGCCCTTTATCGTCACATCACACGAACCGCTCGGCTAGAATTTCGGTACAGCAAAACTGAAATAAGTATCTGCTTAGGTGCAGCTCGAAGCCGAAAAATGATATCCACTGGCCTTGATGTCCATGCTGTTGTCCAGCTTCGCTCATAATAAAGGCCCACAATACGAGGACTAGCAATGGATTGTGGTCACACGCCGCGTGCCGCCCTGCCCAGAGTGTGTTCTGTCTCGCCGGCGACGTGCTGCGTTCGGTCTGGTCCCGGAGCTGTGCCGGCCCGGTGAGACAGTACCCGGCCCGGCCGGTCCGCGGGGAGTGATAGCACCGCCGGCGACGGGGAAGGGTTACCGGCGTCCGGCCGGGGACGCACAACGACGCCGCCGATGGGACAACGGGGACGGCGCGGCGCGTGGCGCCGGCCGCAAGTTAGTTACTCAGCCATTCGGGGTGTCGGCGGCGGGCCCGGTCGGCGATGGATCGGTCCCGGGGAGCCGCGCTGCGTCGATAGGATGGCGGCGCGCCGGCTTCTGGTGCTGACAGCCGCGCACGGGCCGCCTGCCATCGACAGGAGAGGAGAGGAGAGCCCGCCGGTGGGGGGCGAGTCCCGCAGACAACAGAGTCTGTGGCTGGGGCAGGCCAGACCGTGTGCGCGCGACACTCAGCGTCCCAATGCAGGTTTACAAGAGTAAGTGGCGAACCACCAGCCACTGTCAGGCACAGCCGCTGCCCGGGCGATCAGTCGTCAGCGGCCTCACGTCAGCCGTGGAGATTGTGTCTCTTGCTGACGGCTCCTGTGGCGACGGCGTCAGGCGCGCCGTCGCCACCGGCGCGCACCTGAGCGCCTGTCGCTGGCGACAAAACTGCCGTCCGCAGCGGCCATTGTGGCACCTATCGCGGCCAGATCGGCCGCAGCCAGCCGGCACCCGGACACGCCGCCACCAAATCGCCTCGGCAGCGGCGAAAAACGCGCTTCAAAGTCGGATCGCGCGATCGGCGGCGGCCGCGCGGCGTTGTCCCCGACTCGCCGGCCGGGCCTAATGAGTCAGGCGGCGGCGTGCACGCCAGTTTTACCGCGCGGGGCCGAGCGACGGCGGCTCAGCGCGGCCGCTGCGGCGATGGGCTGATCCCAGGCGACACGAACGACACATAACCGCACAGAAAGAATGGCCGCCGGGCCAGATCAAACGCGCGCTCCCGAGATCGCCGGCGGATTACCCGGAGACACTCAGGTGTTCGTTATTCCTGCACCCACTGCAGCCGAGGTGTTTTCCGAAAACTGGCTGGGCACTGCACGAATCGTGAATCAAAATGCTACCATGCTTTGCTGCTGAGTACCGCTAGACTTAAACAAAGCACGAGGTAAACTCTGGCTGAGGAATCTCTCTGCCGCCGGCCCATTTTACAAATTAGGTGTCGCCGTCGCGATGTCGTCGATAATGCTGCATTATGGCCCATCCAGCGACTTTGTCCCGCACTACCTCACGACCCGGCCTCGTCCAATGGATCGGCTCAATGCCCGCTGATGAGCCTAGATCGGTTTTTGGCCGGCGAAAAGCGTCGCGCCCGGCCGGCCATTACGTTCATAGGCGGTCGGTCGGCCGCGGGCCGCTTCGTTAGCGATCCGCCGTTACTCAGCCACTCAATGGGAGCGGAATGAGCGACGCCTCGTGTTTAGCCGGGCACTCGTCCCTTTGAGACGGCCTGTCGCCTGTTTTCACCGCCGATTTGGCCGATTAAAGGCGATTTTTCACCGCGACCAGCGCACAACAAGCCGGAGTATAATTATAAGTATTATGGATGCACGGTCCGGCGTGGGCCGGCCGCGCGGTGACGCTGCACTCCGCGCGCCCAATGGCCAGCATTACAAGGCGAATATGCAGCGACTGGCCTGCCGGCGCGCCACTCCTGACGGGAATAAACAACAGCTCAATACAGACATCAGCCGGCGCCGGGCGTCCGCCGCACAATGCAGCCGGTAACGAGAGGCCGCCGCCGCCGCCGCGAGTGGAGGAGGCCGGCGGCTGCGGTGGACGGACTGTGGACGGACGGTGGACGGACGGTGGACGGACGGTGGACGGACGGTGGACGGACGGTGGACAGCGGGGCAGGGCGGCCGGTCGGCAGGTCTGGTGTGCGGGTCGCAGCGCCTGACGCCGCTGACGGATGGCGGTCGGAGGCCGGTCGGCGCGCAGCCTCCCGGCAGGCCGTGATTTACGGCGGTCCGGTGATAACGATCTCAGCGCCGGTCCGCGCCCCGACACACGGACGGACGGACGGACGGACGGACGGACGGACGGCGCGCCAATAAGCGGCGTGACGACCGCCCGACGCCTGGGAACCGGACCGTCACCGGCGCGCCTTTTGTGACGCCGTCAGACGGCGATCTGTCACCGAGCGGCCAGCGTCATTACGGACAGAGTGGCCCCGGAACCCGGACACTCGGGGCCGGGCACCCGGACACTCGGGCCCGGGCACCCGGCCGACCCTCGGCCACTCCCCGGACCGCACACCGCCGCCGTGTTTCAGCGCCCGCCGAGCCCAGCCATCAATGCCCGCTCCCAATGCCATTCTACGCGGCCATAAACATTTGTAATATTTCAATAAACACCGTCGCATTTTTCACTTTTGATTATTATTTCTTCATTGCGTGGCAAAACAAACGGCCGGCCGGGTCGGAGCGATGGCGGCCCGCGCCGCGCCCGGCCCCCGCTGATCGCCCCCGCAGCGAAGACGGATTCTTCTTCATCAAGCCGTATCAAGCGGTATTATTCTATCATTTATATTCAACTGATTGACTTGCCGATTCAATTCGGTATTGGTACCGGCTGTGCGGAGGGAGGGTGCGTGTGTGTCTGTCTGTCTGTGCGCGAGCTGTGCGCCGGGGAACGGTGCGGGTGCGACCTCGTCTCTACGGGCGAGGTCACTCGGACACAACAGACTCCCCGCCGCCGCTACCCGGACCCAGCTTTGATCAACAACCGGTCGTGTACACCGCCTCAAAGGGAAATCCAGCTGATCTGCTGGAAATACGTGAGGGCGGCTATCTTTAGCGCAGCGAGTCGTGACGGCACCCAGTACGTCTGGGTCCACTCTGACCGGGGAGCACAGCTCGGGCGTGGTCACGGCGCCGGGGCGGGGCGGATGACGGATGAGGTGATGAGCCGCCATCCGATGACGGGCCGTCAGCGAGCCGTCAGCGACGCCGGCAGCGCGGCTGCGTGACAGCGGTGACAGCGCGGTGACAGCGCGGCGACAGTGCAGCGGCGGCCGGCGGCCTGCAGTCGGACAAAGAGCCAAGGCCGAGCGGCGGCTCCCCGGGGCGGCTCCGGACGGGCCCGGGTCCCCGCCGGGGAGCTCCCGGAACAATGAGCCGCCGGTGGACAGCGCCCCGCCGCCGCCGCCGCCGCCGCCGCCGCCCCCCGCCGCTCGCCGGAGAAGGGGTAACCTTGCCGAGCGGTGGACACCGGGGCACCCCGCTGTGACCGGTCGGACGCGCCGCGGGGACGACGGCCACCGGCACGGCGCCGCCGCCCCCTGCCAGGACACACGCTGCGACAGTTTTGATCGGCAATGTCCGGAGAGTATCGGCCGGGACCGACCGACCGCCGACCAATTGTCTCCGTAATGGCAAATAACGACGGGCTCATGGGCGGCGCGCGGGCAGACAGAGCCGTTCATTTTCGGCGGTGATATTTGTCCGTTTGTCGGACTGACTGTTGTCTATGACATGTCGGCGAGCTCCGAGCACCTGCTCACAGTGTGCGCTGGCCGGTCGCGTTCCGGGCGGCCGATCGTGTCCGGATTTCAGACCGGTCTCCGTCTGATTCTCCGTCCATGGTGTCCCCGATGATCGATGGGGTCCAATGATTGAACGGTAGACAACGACGGTGAGAATGGTAGAGCTACAGACGACACGGTCCGGCGAGCCTTCCAACCTACTTCAGACGGCAGAAGGTGGACGGTAGACGGCAGGCGAACGGCAGACGGATGGTAGACGGATGGTGGACGGACGGGAGACAGGACGGGAGACGGGAGACGGGAGACGAGGCTTGAGACGTGGTGCGGACCCAGCAGGCAGGAGGGGGCAGATGTGGGGACGAGAAACGGGGCGGGGACGGGGCGGCATTGGCGCAGAAAATTAAACGTCCCACATTTCTCGTCGGCCCAGCCGTCCGGAATTTATCGGCCATGGGCCACCGGCCGGCCCAAAGCGTCCTAAATGTA